TGAGGCAGGGAGGGTGCCTGATTGTTGCCAGCTGGGGCCCTTAGTCTTACCGGGGGGATCGGAGGTCGGGGAGGCCCGGCTAGTGCTTCTCTAAGTCCTCTGTGTGCTGAGCTGTCTCCCAATCCATCCTGGCTTGCTGCCACGGTCGCAGTCTTCTTGCTGCCAGTGGCAGCCGCGGGCAGGGTGCCACATGGTGGGCAGCGTGGTGGGTGGTGGCGGCCTGGTCCCTGGGTCAGGTTTTGGAATTCGGATGCTCTCAATCTGGGGCATTTCACACCTCAGTGCACTAGGTGGGTAGGGCCACGCTAGAGACTCCACCCCTTCCTTTAGGGCACCAGCATCCCATTGCTTAGGGCTCTGGGTTTGAAGCGGGGCTCACTAACATCCTGCTTCTCTCCCTTGGCCACTTGCAGCTGGAAGGATATCACCACATCCACCGCACAGAACTGAGCACCAACCACGTGCTGCTCTACATGGAGCAGGTGAGTGGCTGCACGGGGCCGGAATGGGCCAATAAAAGTCACCCCCAATGTACTCCCAATAGAAGTGCCCGGGGGAGGGGATCTCCCAAGCCTCAGCTTGGAAAGACAAACCCATGTATTCCTGCCCAGTGTTTCCCTTCAGCACTTCCCCAACACAGAGCCAGGGCCCTGATCTCCCACCACCTACGGGTATCAGGGACGGCGGCTCATACCCTGGGGTTGGGCAGGGCTTATCCCACCTCCCTCAGGGCCTGAATCCCTGCCAGGCCCTGCAGCCAAGGGGGGCAGATGCTGCACCTGCAGGATCATGCGGGGGAGCAATGTGGGAATACGGAGGGGAGATGGGGAAGGAGAGGATGAGGTGGCTCAGAGCGTCCTCCTGAGTCTCGTCTGTTTCCCTCTGACTCCAGGTGAGCAATGTGACTCAGAGCTTCTCCTTCGCGGTGGAGCAGGACTTCCCCGTGCAGAGCCTGAAGCCAGCACTGGTGAAAGTCTACGATTACTACGAGACGGGTGCGTATGGGGGCAGGGCTGGGGGGACGTTAGCTCCCATGAGCCTGTCACAGGGATGGGAGAGGCTACAGCCAGAGCTATAGGGGGACCCTCTGGGCTCGGGATTGTGTTTGGCCTCGTTCTCTCGATGATCCACCTCCCCATTCCCGTGCTGCCTCCTGAGGGTGGGGACAGGCCTGGGGCTGAGCTGGGAACCTCACGCGAGCACTGCCTGTTCAGCGACTGCCCATGCAGTTTCAAGGGCAAACCCCATTCCCTTCTCCTGCTTCCAACCCGAATGGCCCTGCTGCCACCATCCCTGACACCGGTTTGCCCCACGCAGACAGCGTCCCCCTCTCATCTCTGGACACAACAGGCCCATCTCAGCAGCGTCACCCCTCTCCCAGATGAGAGTGTGGGGCACACGGGGATTATGGGCGAGGGATCATATTCCACTGGCCTCATGCTCGCACCATGAGCCCCAGACCCCTCCCGCACTGTAGAGGGAAGGTGCCAACCCAGGTGGGTCAGAGCCAAAAGGATCTGGGAGTGTCCTGGGTTCAGATCCTGCCCTGAGATCCCAGCTCTGGGTGTGACCTGGGGGAGGCACATTCGCTCCTCCATCTCCCCAGCTAGGACATCGGGTGACAAAACCAGAGCCCAACGGCAACCCCGGCGGTCGTGTGTCAGACGAGGTGCAAATGGCCATAGGGCACCTGGCACAGAACCGCTGGAGATGCCTGTTGTGCTGTAGCCTTCAGGTAACCTTTGCCTTCCTCCCATGGAGCCCAGCTGAGGTTCCCCCAGTGCCCCTGGAGACAGGGCTTCCTCCCCTCCTGCCTGAGTTCTCTGGTGCGGTGCCAGCTCTCTGCCGCAGGGCCCGGTGGAAATGCGAGGAGTCCTGCTTGGGTCTCACACAGCCCTGATCACATCTCCCTTCCCTTGTGTCTTCCAGATGAATTTGCCATCGCTGAATACAGCGCCCCCTGCAGCAAAGGTAGT